ACCCTATGGCTCATACGCTGGCGGTATTCCGTTTTAGTTATTTGGGACCTTATGTGTTCACCAAAACACTCCTACCTCTCCTGGAATCTACTGCAGAAACTGGTGAAGATGTACGAATTGTGAATGTAGGTGTCCAGACTTAACTCTATCTTCATGACTGATATCCCATTCCGAAGGTCGGCTCGTTCAGTCATAAGGATGTAACTTATCTTGACTATGGCTCCAAGGAAGCTTGGAATCATAAATTCCGATTTTCCCTTGTACCCACAATCTCGCGATATGGTACGCTTATTCATCAAATATTTGTGAATATAACGCTTATGATAATCGTGTATAGCATATTCTAAGCTTGCATGCCATCTCTGGGCAAATAACCTCGCAAAGCGTTTAACTGCGGAAAATTCAAAAGTAATGGTTCTTCTCACCCATCCTGGCGGCATTCTTAGTGTAAGTTTATCCTTCTTGCTATCTCTTAATAAACTCATGAAACTCTAGGATGGCTCCGTCCGTTCTTTGAGTACATTGCCATTCCCAAAATTCTGGATTTGGGTCGCAGGGACGATGTTGCATCCACAAGAGCAGGGGGCATTCACCTCTGTCTTTGCAGCATGTGCGCCTCGAGATAATGAAGAGATATCTCATGGGGCGTATATATGCCCGCCAAATGTTGCATCTTCACAAGATCCAAAGGCTATGAATGAAGGGAGACAAAAACAACTGTACGAGTTTACGGAGGCCTTATTACGGCAACTTGAAGTGTAGACTCGTATTGTTAACTTGGGCCTTTTTTGAAGTGTATGGGTTTCCCAAATATAATTATATTTATATTATTCTTCTAAAATACAGAACCTTACGGTGGTATGTGGGTTTGTTTAATGCAGACAGAAAGGTATGGTAAGCTCGTCAGCTGCCAATGGCAGCCGTGGTAATAGATCTCACTGATAAGCATTTCACTAACATAACAACGACAATAATACGACATTTTTAGTTATAACTCAACTACTAGCCCAGGACTCTCAAAAAGGGGGTTCTTGATGCCTGAGACCCCGAGTATTGAAGGTGGCTACGGTCAAATCGATCATCCGGTTCAACAAATTAATATTAATGGGGATTTATTCGCCATTGGCATACGCTCTTTTCATTTGACTTCTGATGGAGCTACTGGATCTACCACTATTTCTGCCAACGGAACAATCACTGTTATGTACGTCTCAAATCTCTGTCACAACGACAGAAAAATCGGACTCAGAGCAATCCCAACTTTCTGGTGGGAGTGGATCACCTCAACCTCGTGATCAGAATGCTGTTGTGATTCAAGGTTTGATATCCGAACTATGTCTTGTTGATTCGCTTCTAGAGCCTTGCAAGGATAAAATTGTACCTCCCCAACGCTTTCTTCGCAAATATCGTACTGTCAGCGGTAAAGTGGCTTCGATTATACAAGGGCCTTCTTACCCCGGGTGTCTGGGTAGTTATTTTGCAATTGAGCATACTTTAGATTATTAGTGGAGTATAGTACGTCGTGGCTCTATTCTCGGTTTAATATACAGCTAACAAGATATTGGGTAGAGCTTTAGGCCTTCGAAAAACCCTGATACGGGTGTGAACTACTTCATATTTTCTTCTTTCTCGCAAGTCCGGTCAGTCCACGATGCTCTCTTTCCCGTCCCTTTCCGAGTCCCAACGAACAGTAAGAATATATGAACGTAAGAATAGAATACCGGGGTAAACTCCACTGGCAGCTCGGTAACCCTTTCACCCACCCCTTCGAGACTTAAGAAAACTATCGTCGATGGATAAGCTCTGTATGCGAGCATGCACTGGCGGACAGCGCTGTAACCAAAATTACTCTTGAATGGTATAAGCTCACCCCCGGCGCAATGGTTCCTTCTGAAATTGAAGATGTCTGTACGCATATATTCAATTAATGATGTTCAGCGGTGAATTGACCGGGCCACACTTGTGGGATATCCCTACACTCTATCTGGGTTCCCTGGTTCCATGGCCGGCGCGGTTTTGATGTACGAGCAAAAGCGAGGTGCATACAAACTGGTACGCAGTGCAGTTTAGATTTTGAGAGATATTCCGCTCAACATCATTTTACGAACGTTTCATATTTTACGTTAATTGAAACAAGAAACTGAAGGTGGAAATAAGAATGTACACACATGGTGAGAGTTTCTTTCGAGGATAGAACGCAAAACACGCCGTCTAGCGAAAGATATATTACTGGAAGCATTGAGATGTTTTCTTCAGATGAAAACATTAGGAAAACCTTGAAAGTGCACCCAATTTTCTCAGGATTTTCCATAAATTGCAGGAAAATCACTCATTGCTTCCTGTGATATAACAATGGGTTTGAAAATCTCTACAGAAACCTTGGAGATACTCAATATAAATTATCAGCTGCATTATGTTCACAACAAAATGGAATATATGTTACTATTGGGTACTTGTTATTTCAGTGGGCTTGACATGGTGGTATTGGTAAATAGTATAGATAGTTCTCATTTCGTCTCTAAGAGCGGTGGCCGCCATCTGTGGGATATGGGATAAGAAAGGATCTGAAGAAAGGGAGTGGGGAGACATCCCCTTGCGTTAGCAGGGCTCTTTCCACTCCCTTTCAAACACGGGCGTCTCTCACGTCTATTTGTATGTATGGGTGTAGGTCCATATGTACTTGTGCGATATTTATGGTGATTCCTTTTAAAAAAAGAAATAAGTAAAGAAACAAGATAAACAAGAGAACATAGTGCGATATAAGTATGCTTTGAAGTTAAAAATACAAATAATAAATATCAGACGACTGCCTCTTGCAGCCATTCACTATCTTCAACCACCCGGCTATACAAATGGGTGCTTATTCACATTTTTCCTTTCTTTTTCTGTCTTGGACCCTCTAATAGACCTTGAAACTCATGCTCAACGTAGGTTTAACACTCATTAGTTTGTATGTCATTAGTACAGTTTATGCATAATGTGGAACCCTTTGGAACCTGTTAAAAATGAATATGCTCCTAACGATTATACCTATAGGTTAAATACTTGCTTGCCCAAATTGCCTCTCCACTTCCCCGTCTAAGAAGTGTCTTCCCATCATTATTGGGTTATTTCTCACATGGTGTGATATATCGCAAGGATTTCAATTGCATATTCATCTAAAACCTCCATGAAGCAATGTCTCAATGTGTTATAATTGATTTGAAGATAAAGATACAAAATAATCTACATTCATTGCTACTGCTCTTTATTCCCTTCGTTATAATCCTTCTTCACCTTCACCTTCCCTAAATCCTACACTCCGATATAACTCGTGTTGTTACCAAACCACAGCTTTTTATTCTCCATCAGTCAGTTTGGGACCCATTTTTAGGATGGACGGCATATGGACAGAACAGAGAATGATTTGGAGAAAACGGAGCGAATGGGTGGGAGTGGCGAGCGTAAGTGAATGAGTAACATCGAATGTAGGGAAGCTGTGATGTCACACGGGGAGGTACATAAAAAGTACCGAGAAGCTAGAACAGGTGCTTACTTAGCCTTAATGTGAGCATAGCCTATCCACAGAGTCGGAGCCCATTAATATCAGTTCGTGCGATCTAATGGCTGCTTCAGCCGATACATTAAGCTTTTTGAGGTCGTAACTTGCCTATAACGCATTATTCCAGTGTCAACACTGGAAATTGGAATTGAGATAATTGATGAATACGGGTGAAAATAAACGGTAAACTGCAGACAATGAGCATATGCATTCACAGATTACAAGTCACAAGCTCAAACTCTTTCCCCGGTTTTAGTAGATTTGGCTAAACCGCCACACTGGAATTTATCTCATTACAACGCATACGTCGCAGTTTCAAGAAGCACAAGTCGCAACCCTATACGGTTTTTACAAGACTTTGATGATTCTCTCTGTACAACACCACCTGACGAAGAATTAATTTCATTTATGCAACAATTAAATGTAATGGACAAACAAACAGAAGTTTTATTTGAGAATGGGCTTTTATAACATATTACTATTATATTTAATAAATAAAGAAATTTCTTAAAAATAAAAGGTCTGAGTCACAATCAAACATCTTATCAAGAACGCAAGGGTTCTGCCTCCACGAGGCCTCTAATGAACTTCAGCCTTAATCATCTTTGTCACTGCTTACTCATCTGGTGATCCTTTAGCCTGCGAATTGGCATGGTCGTCGACTGACAAAAAAGTAGGTAATATTTAATTTTTAAAATCATCCAGGTGGAATGAAAACATCCACTTACGTATCGGAGTATCGATGAATCCTGGAGCATATGCATTCACGGTAATGCGAGTTTTCCCGAGTTCAGATGCTAGATAAATACAGGTAATATTGAAATAAGAAGTACTAGGGATATCAAATAGAAATACGAAGTGTAAAGCTTTAATTGTATGGCAGTTATTTTATTTAAAGACCTGCCAGTGGGACTTGGACAGTTGGGCCTTACTGTAAGAAATATATGGTCCGTGGACTTAGATGCCGACATTCACTCAACAATTGGCCGCCTAGCGTAATGGTAACGCATCTAACTTCGATGTGCTCTAAATCAAGAGATTGCAGGTCCGATCCCTGCGGTGGTCACCGAGTAGGCGGGGCTGTAGAGGCTTACCTTCGTTTTTCCCAAATTTGGTGTCGAACAGACATCCCATCAGATGTTTTGGACTTCTAAATACTTGTTGCCGGATAGCTTAAAATAATGGATCTGGATATATAGAGTGAATATATGACAAGCTTAATTCTTGCATACAATGAGATATAATGCCACAAAAATTAGGTGCTAGGCTAGAGAACCAACTGGACTCCGGAGATCCCATGTTAA